AGCACTTTGCTGGGAGCGCTGGAATGGTGGTTGTGTTCCTACCTGGTATGCAGAAGAGGCATAATATATGTAGAACTAAATTCCTTAGCATGGCTGCCTGTCTTCTGACCCTTTCCTGGTGTCCCTTTCCTAGAGTTTTCCCATCCCTACAGCATCTCCTTTATCCTTTCCTATTATTTCCTTTTCCCGCTTTCTCCAGAAATCTCCATGTGCGATTCTACCAGGACAGGTAGCAGAAAGCAGGGAGGGCTGAACACTCCGGTTTCTGCGTGAGCCTCGATGACGGGCACACAGCACATCGCTTTCACAGAGCCCCGCCCCGCGAGTGCGGGGAGAGTGGCTTTCCTTCCTGAGCCCTGGGTAGCTCAGGTGTGTAGTTGGGGCAAGTCAAGTCAAGCAACCATCCACGGGCACCAGGCTGCAGAGAGAGGCCTCCAGCTACTCTGGAAGAATGGCTGCAGCTGCCATGCTGAGCTGTGAAGTCACCCTTCACATTGTGAAGGATTACATTGTGTGGGTCAAGGGGCTTCCCCTGCCTCTGGCACATTCTACCTAGAGCAGAGAGAAGGCTCAGACTCAGTGACAACAAAGAGACCAAGGACAGAGTGAGACCTCTCAAAATCCCTGTCTCGGGTGAGGCAAGGACATCTGAATGTAGCTCAAAAGAGAGGAAGAAACTACCAGGTTGGAGAGTAGAGCTGTAGCTCAGTTGGTAGAGTGCTTCCCTAGCATGCACAGAGCCGTGAGTTCGATCCCCAGCACCGCCTAAACCAGAAGCGGTGGCACAAGCCTGTAATCGTGTGTTCACCTCCCAGGTGCTGGGAGGATCTGAAGTTCAGGGTCCATCTTTAGCTATAGAGGTTGTTTGAAGCCAACCTAGATGACATGACACCCAAGGAAAGAGAGACAATTATCACAATTATCAGTAGTTGTCCCAAACTAGTGACACAGAATGAATGTCCTGTCCATATGCCTGAACTCAATGCCACTTTGACCCCAGACATGAAACCACATTCTGTCTGCGATCAGTATTAAGACAAGCCCATATCCCAGCCTTTCCTGTAATTGCAATGGGTATCAAAGTAGCCAAGCACAGAATTTGATCTCTCGGATAGAATATCTGACGTAGATTCTCGCTAACAGGAAAGGAACAAAAAGTGTTCCTGGATTTTCACATGAAAGGAAAACTGGACGCCCTCACTTAAAACCCCAGCAGCTTCTCTGACATATGTAATCTGAGGTGTGTTTACCCCAAAAATGAGAGGCCCTCCAGCCTGGACAATACGTGCATCCCGGCAGGGGAGGCAAAGAAAGAAGCAAGAGCACTGACTCCAGGTCCCGGTCTTTTCACTGATCCGGTCAGCATGTGGCCTTCATCGCCTCCACACCTGACTTAATGATTCTCTTAATGCAGGGTGCAGCCCATTCGGCAGACAGACAGGTGAAGTGAAGAGACATTTCTACAAAATACCCGAATTCACATCTCACACCCAAATGGCCCGATTTCAAATGCTTTCTTCTGTAACCTATTGTGTCTCAGAGAGACAACAAAGGTCTGGAAGCTTCCCTCAGGGAAGTGAGGGCAAGGATTAGACACAGAAGATAAGCTGGTAATTAAAGCTTGGAAAACCCATGACGTCCCTGGAAACTCCAGGGCTGAGAATTCGGTTTGTTTGCTGATGGTGAAAAGGGACACAGGTGGGAAGGTGTTCTGGCGTGGAGGGCCCGCCTCCAGCAGGCCCAGCCCCTCTTCATCTCCTAAACTTATCCCAGCAGGTGCGCATGCCCTGGAATTGTCCTAGCCACATCTCTCTTGCGTCAGGCACTCCAATGTCCACCGACATTTTCATGTCATTCCCGGTCACCGCCCTCTCTCCTGAAGGGCTCCTTTCTTTAGCCGCGGAATTGCTGGCCATGCCCCGCCCAGCTCCTGCTGGGACACACACGTGGGTGGCTGCCTACCCATCCACCCTTCCATACCAGTGCCAAAGATGCCGCCTCCTGCGTTCCATAGCCAAGTCCTGAGAACCCACTTTCGTCAAACTGCAGTGGACAGCGATTTGGTCGCGCCTAAGAATCCAGCTCCATGAAGAGCCTCCTTCTCCTCTCCACAGCCACCTTTGTGACCCCTTTCGTGGCCTCGTCCTCACCTCTGCTGCCGCTAGTCTAACCTGTCTCACTGATGATGGAGTGCTCAATACAAGGATGCAGACGACAGAGGTTAAGTTTACCGGACATGCGCAGTAGAACTTTCTCCGCCTGGCAGGACAAACCAAGTTACGGAACTGAATCACCACACTGGGACAACCCATGACTTCTCACCAGGAACATCATAAAAGGGCTTGTGACTTTACTGAGACACACCTGTGGCAGGCACTCCCTGACTGTATTATCACATGGCTAGCTCACTTCATTCTCGTCCCCAGAATGACTCCATGCTGTAGGAAAGAGCTATGAAACCGAAGCCTGAAAGTCCCTTCAGGTGCCCGGGGTATCACGTCAACCTGCACCCCCTTGGAAGACATGTTGCCTCCCACTGCCACGGCAAGCTACCAGTAGGAGACGATGGGTACAAGGAGGGGCCCGGCTATGAGCAATGGAGAGCTCAGATCATCCGTCTCCCAAGTTTTACTGCCGCAAGCTAGTCCAGAAGTACTCTTCTCAATACCGGTAAGGAACCAAGGCTTCACAGACAGCAGGACAGTCTGGGACAGCTCAGAAGAGAAGAGAACGCTGGCCAGGAGACCAGAGTTCACTCTGTCCTTGCCTGCATGCTAGCCACTGAGAAGCCTCGCAGGGCCCTCCTATCCCTGCTTCTGTGTGCCTCTGTGTCAGCAACTCCCTCTGGCATCCTCACCTGGTATCCCTTGTTGCCCACGACTCCTTCTTCCAAATATACTCTTTTTCTTCCCAGGAAGCAGCACACAGCTAGAGGAGGCCCCGTGCCCTGCCAGTCCAGCACTCCAATATGCCGAGATATAACTCTGCGGCCTTGTACCTAACCCTCCCAGCCGCCCAGCTTCCTGCCCTTTTCATCTGCCACCTGGACCCCTCCTAGAGCAGCGAGTCTCAGAATCACCTGGGAAGCGCTTAAAATGCAGGTGGCTGGAATCTACCTAATCAGGCCCCATTACTAGCAAGTTACAAACAGGTGCCCGTGCTGATGCTGCCGGGCCAGGACCACCCTAGGAAAACCGTCAAGCAGAAGTATGCCTGAGGGGCCTTTGTGTGTAGCTTTGAACCTGATAGCTCCTGCCAAAGCCTCATCAACTTGCAAAGCTTGATTTCCATGAACCCAAAGGAGGAAGGAAAATACCTTAAAAGGTCTATTGTCTATCAAGTACAAGATTTGAGGGACTGGAGAGAGGGCTCAGAGGTTGAGCACTGGTTGCTCTTCTAGAGTACCTGAGTTCAATTCCCAGCACCCACACAGTGTGCTCACAACATTCTGTGAGTCCAGTTCCAGGGCACCTGACATTTCTCTTCTGACCGTTGAAGGCACTGCACATACATTGTACACAGACATGCATGCAGACAAAATGCTTATATATATATATATATATACATATATATCTTATTTTATTTTTTATTTTTATTATATAAAAATAAATAAATAAAGATGAGACCTGATACAACCTGTTTAAGGCCCTGACTGTCATAGAGTCCCACAGTTCCTGTTTTGGGGCAATTCAAACTTGAATGAGACCTTTATGGTACTTCACCCTGTGGGACAGGTCTCTTGGCTTCCTAGGGATGAAGCTAATGGAGCTGCCCAGTCTGGGGAAGGCAGTCCCTAAGTTCCCCTTTAACCCCCTGTCAGATTTGTTTCCTCGATGCCTCCCTCCACCTCTTTAAAGCATGAAGCACATGGAGCCTCCTGCCCTGGAGGTAGAGCCCTGCATGGCCCTCGCCTTCCTTGAAAGATCCTAGGTTGGGAGGGAGTGAAGGCACAAAGACCAAGGTTGCTGGGCACCAGTTAGATGTGTGACGCCAAAGAGACTCTCAACATCACTCAGTCTGGTGTGTCTTCCAGCAAAGGAAAATACCAGACAAAACCCAGGCGAACCTGTAATATTGTAAGCTATATAGTAGCTCTGTCTGGAGGGATTGGTTTTTATTACAATTGCTGTTACTTTGTTTTTCATAGGACAAAGCTACTTTGCTTTTGGGAAAGTAGCTTCTCTTGAAGAAATTAATGACCATTAATTCTCCTCCCCCCCCCCGGGGTTTTTTCTTTCAAAACAGCGTTTCTCTGTATAACAGCCTGGCTGTCCTGGAACTCACTCTGTAGACCAGGCTGGCCTCAAACTCACAAAGATCAACCTGTCTCTGCCTCCCGAGTGCTGGGATTAAAGGCATGCACCACCACTGTCCCTTAATGAGCTATGTACCTTCATGCTCCAGAATCCTCTCCCTGGCAGTAGCTGCTTGCAGACCTTCACTGCCAAACCCGCCGACTCGCTCCCTTTCTCCTGGCTAACCCTGCAGTTCCCTTTTTCAGACAATAGCTACCCTGACTCTCTTAACATTCTCTCTCTCTCTCTCCCTGAAGACCCTCACAGCACACCTGGCAGCTGTCCCCAGCCATCCATTGCTTAGCCTGCCTGCTTTCTTGACCTCTAATCCAAAACTCTGACTTCCTCTCTGTCTCTAACGCAGCTTCATCCTCCTGGAAGCTACCAAGATCTCCAGCTTACCTGCCCTGTTTTATGTTCAGATGCTAATTAATTTGTTTAAACACACACACACACACACACACACACACACACACGTGGTGGGGAGTCACAGGAACACTGTCCTGAGTCCCCCTCCTTCATCTCAGTTTTTCCCCAAAGGCATCTGTTTATCAAATCCTGCGGGAACCCCTTCTCCTTGCCAGGCCCATCAAATACCAAAGGCCACACATGAAGCCTCAGACAACATCCTCAGCCCCCAAAGGCTGCCAGTGTCGTTGAGTGACAGCAAGTTTGAGTGGCTGTGTCCTATCATAGGCGACTTCACCGAGAACATGGAGATGGAGGAGGCCTGTGGCAGAGAAGGCTGCTTCTCTTCTTCTATTCCCTCTTCTTCCTTAGCACCAGCACTCCCAACTTCCCCTGTTATAGGTCCATCTAGAAAACAGATTGAAAAACAGTTGGCATGTGCCGTTTCTTACCACTTCTTCTATCCCGTGCCTGGAATTAAGATGTGATGACTGGAGCTTCAAACCAAATTTTATTTATTTATTAGTGACTGGGGGGGGGCAAGAAAGTGAGAATGAGAGAGAGAGAGAGAGAGAAGGGGGGCACAGGTGTCAGGGTGTGCTGGGCATGTGAAGGTCAGAGCACAACCTTATCGAGTTGGTTCTCTCCTGCCACCTTTATATGGGTTCCAGTGATCAAATTCAGGTCACCAGGCTTGCAAAACAAGTCCCTCTGCCTGCCATCTGGCCAGCCCTCCAACAGTATTTTAAACTGTGAACGTAGTAATGATCTTGAGATGATAAATCAGGGAACCTGAAGAGGTCTGGATCCGTAACAGCTCTAGAGTGGTTCTAAACTGATTCCAGGCTATCTCAAGAATTCATTAACACAAGAGAAAGCAAATTTAAATGCCATCTTAAAAGCCCATTATTTTGTGGTTCCTGACACGCAGCCTGATCGTAATCTCAGCTACTCCAAGGCTTGGCTGTTAGTGCCTGAGGTCTTTGAATTCATTATGGAAGGAACAAGGAGCAAGAGAGGGTTTACAAGCTGTGGACTAACTTGATGTAGAGAGAAAAGAAGAAACGGAAATGGCCTAAGAGTAAGAGAGACATTGGGAGCATATTTCCACTGATAGGAATGGGGACTCCGAGAATGCTTCGTTACTTTCCTGGTTGTAACTAAATACCTGACAAGAAGCAGTTTGAGAGATGAAGAACTGACTTCGGCCCAGTGGCTGACGGCAGGGAAAACTCGGTGACAGGGGCAGCATCCAGCTGTGGTGGTGGGAGGCTGTTTGCTCACATCTGGGAAGATCAGGGAACAAGGAAAGGAGGGTGCTGGTACTCCCCAGTATCTCCACATAGCCCTGACTGTCCTGGAACTCACTCTGTCAACCAGGCTGGCCTCGAACTCACAGAGATCCACCTGCCCCTGCCTCCCCAGTGCTGGGATTAAAGGCGTCCGCCACCACCCGGCTCATTTTCACCTTTTTAATTCAGTCCAGGACCCCAGCACCTGGGATGGTGTCTTCCACCTCGGCCTGGGTCTTCTCTATCAGTTAAAGTTCTTGGGAAACACCCTCACAGCCACACTCAGTCATCTCCTGAGTGGTTCCAAGTGCAGTCAAGATGGCAGTGAAAATGAACCCTCACAGGTGGCACACATGGTTTTAGGTTTGTGACCTTGGAGGCAACAGGAATACACTTGTGTTTGGAAAAGTGTGGGTATGCGTGTACAAAACTAAAGACACAGAAGCAAGCCGTAAGAGGAAGGCAAGTCCTGGAACTACAAATTTGGGGCCAGATTCATGTAAAGGTAATCATGGATCTGTTTCAACAGGGCTAAACCTTGCTGAGTTTAAGTGAAATAAAAGCACAAAGACTGTTTGCTTCCACATCTGTGAAGTGCCAGTAAGTCAAATTCACAGGAACAGAAAGTAGGATTGTGGTGGCCAAGGGGTCATGGAAACGGGGTTGGGGTAGGGGATTACCTAATGGGGACACTTTCAGTTTTGCAGGATGAATGCCAGTGGTGGAGATTTCAGAACAATCTAGAGGTGCATAATGCCACTGCTAAGACAGTTAAAAAAAAAAAACCACATACATACACATACACACACACACACATACACACACACACATACACACACACATACATACACATACACACACATACACACACATACACACACATACACACACATAAATACACATACACACACATACATACACACACACACATACACACACACATAAATACACATACACACACATACATACACATGCACATACATACACACACATACACACACATACACATACATACACACACATACACATACATACATACACACACATACATGCACACACATACATGCACACACATACATACACATACACATACATACACACACACATACACACACATACATACACATACACACACACATACACATACATGAATAAATAAGCAAACGAAAATTTAGTAGCTTGAAAAATAGTCACAGCCCCCAATGTACATGAGGGGTCAAAATGAGATAGAAGGACATATAAGAGACAGAAGAAAATATTAAAGAAAAAGAGAGGGGTCAGGAGGTAAGGGGAGGAGGCTGAGAGGGAGGAAAACCAGTAAGAATGGACAGCATGCTTCACAGGCTCTTGGAAAGAGTGGTGCCGGCACTGAGTCTCTGAGTAAGACTCCAGCACCCCAGGCAAGGTGCCTTGCTAGCAAGCGTCTTGGATTAGCGCAGAGCTGAAAGCACTGTGAGGCCTATCGAAACTGGAGAAAGTCAGACAAAGGAAAGCCCCTTGCCACAGCACTGGGTGTACGGGAAGAACGGCCTTGGCAGTTCCTCCTTCTGCAGCGCTTTCAAAGTCAAGGGCTGTTGCATGACTAACAAGGGAAACGGCATCGCCTCTGAAGTGTAGTGTTCGCTAAGACGTGAGTCAGCCCTCCGTTTACCTGAGAGAGGCTAAGAGGACAAGGCTCTTGCTGCAGGCCATGGTGTGCGACTCTAAGGAAAACGCATGCCTAACTTAGTGAAATGGAGCGATCTGGGCCAAAAGTAAGGTACAGTTCCAACTCTAGGCTGGCAGAAGAATAATTTAGCCATAAAGATGGCTCCAACCAAGCGTAGTAGTGCACACTTGCAATCCCAGGACCTGGGAAGTGAAGGCAGGAGGATCAAGATTTTATGGTCGTCCATGAGACTCTATCTGAAAATAAACAAATAAAAAATAAAAGCGGGCAGCTCTAGAATACAAGAGTTCACCAGAGACAGAAAGTGAGAAGCAGAAGGTAGCGTGAGACTGTTGCCAGGGAGACCCCGGACAACACCCAGGGAAGACCTCCTCTGTGGTTTGGATGCCCCTACAAGTTCATGTTGACTCTGAACTGTCGCTGAGACAGTAGGAGGAGGCGCATCTATAAGAAGTGATTAGAGTGAGGATGGTGCTCCCCTCGTGAGTGCAGGGAGGACTAACGCTGCTCTGGAGGGAGCGGGCGCTCACCAAGAAAAGGTGGGTTTGGCTCATGTTCCTCTTGCTTGCTCTCCAGTCATGTCACAGAGCAGGGCAAAGCCTTCGCCAAATACTGGAGTCATGCCGCTAGATCCCTTACTCTCCAAAACCATGAGCCAAGTAAGCTTCTCTTGCCAAGAAAAGACCAGCACAAGGTATCCAACTACAGCGGTAGGTGAGACACCAAGACTGCCTGAGGAATAGCCAGTTTGGCTCTGCTAGGGTTTACTGTCACCATAACAGCCAGGACTTTTCAGCAATATGCCACCTGGGAAGTTGCTCTGTCTCTGCCATGCTTCCCACAATCCTACACAGCAGGCTGGAAGGATATGGGAGCAGTCCACAGTGTCAAGTGAAGTTAAGAGAAGGGAAGCAAGAAAGCCACCAGCTAGTGAAGTAGCAAGCCACTGCCAACATTAGAAGGAGAATTTTAAGCAGGAGTGGAGACCTGTGTGGTGTGGATTATGCTCATTGTTAAATCAAAGCTGACTGGCCGATAGCTAGGCGGGAAGAGATTGAGCGCGAGAGCCAGACCAGGAGAATTCTGGGAAGAGGAAGGGTGGAGACAGAGAATGCAGGGATGAGAATGCCACACTGAGAAAAGGTACCAAGCCACGTAGCTAAACATTGATAAGAATTATGGATTAATTTAAGTGTAACAAGACTGAGCTATTATACGTAATATTAAGTCTCGGAGTGTTCATTTGGAAATTGCTGGTGGGACAGAAACTCCCACCTACAACTGTACTCCATGCAGATGTAGACTGAGCAGTGGACAAAGACAGCACATCTGGCCTCTGACCCTATTCATCACAGAGGGCACATTTGTGACAACTTCTCAGCCAAAGCACCTGAAGGAATGGGTATCTTCTTAAAATTGACACAAAGGTCTCATCTGGACTAGAAACAACTCCAACAAGGAATTGAGGCATGTGGAAGGGAGGTTGTGGATGAGTGCACTGTATGCAAGCCCCAAATGAAACACTTTCTTTTATAAAAGTTGCCTTCATCATGGTGTCTCTTCACAGCAATAGAACAATGATTCAGACAGTCTCCAAGGCTGGCTCTGCTTCTACCTTCTTTGGGGACAAAGTCTGTTATGCAGAAGTAGGGAGGTAAGGACACCCCCCCCCCAAACCAGCCAGTGACAGGGAGGACCTGTGTCCAGCTCCAGCACTTCCAAATGCAGGGCTGGACAGACATGGGACAAAGTACTGGGCTTGAGGCTGCGGAATACTGCTATATGCACAAGTCATATATGGAAGACTGTTCCCATGCCCACCATGGTGCCCTTATCAAGACATCTACATTTCTCCCAAACTTCCGGAGCAAAGAGAAATACAAGGGTGGATGAGGGGCATTTTCAACATGGTATGAACCATTAGAACACAGACAGGGCCTCTGGATTCTATTAGATGCTCCTGGAATTTCTGAACCACTCCTGAGTTGATTCAACTTTATAAATATTTATCTAAGGTCTGTTAGGATGATGTGTCAGCTACAGGCCATGGACGGCCTCGAATGAAGTGGGCCAAGAGGAGACAGAACTGGAATAGAAGGTGCCCCACGCTGGTGGCCATGAGGGCAGGAAGTTGCCTTGGTCTGAGATTGCAGTTGAAGGGATGCTCATTCAGGGAGGAGACAGACAGTTACTATAGGCACAGATGCCAAAGCCGAAGTCAGACGCCGACATGAAATCAGGTACTCTTAGGACTTAGAATCAACTGATGCCTAAAATCCCAGAACTCTGGAGGCAGGAACAGGAGAATCCGGAGTTCAAAGTCAGAAAGTTCTAGACCCGCCTGGCCTACATGAGACCCTGTCTGAAATAAAACATCAGAATAAAAGATTTGGAAGATTATATCCAAAGCCGATATTCAGGAGGATCACATGAACAGAAAACAATGC